TAAATACTACATTATTTATATTGTTATAAATTGAAAAAATTCTGGGTATTTTTCAGCTTTTCTTCAATTCATTATTCATTATTATATTTTTACATTGATGCAGTTAAGTAACAAATATATGATTTACGCCCTTACTAAAACTGTATAGGTTAAGTAATTTTGTAAAATTTAAGAAGACTCCATATAATAAGGTGTGCATAAGTTAGCTGGCGTCGTCCTAAATGACGCATGCACGAATTGCATCTATGTCTTCCGCGTTCGTTGTGCGTCTCAGCAACACGACCGGCTGGGCATGTATGCTAGTCGACCGCGAGAGGAACAGATACCGTTTTTTTTGCATTTAGTCGTTGTTTCAAGTGGAATGGCAGAGAACATTCATGTTAAGTTTACATTAGAACAACGTGTGTTTTTATTAAAACACTTTTACTATCTGGATCGCTATTACAAAGCTATTGAAGCGGATTTTACAGAAAGATGGCCTGATGCATGTTCTCCAAATCGCAATTACATTGTTAATTTAGGCAAAAAGTTTAAGCCTCGTTAGTGTTAAAGATGCAAAGCGTAACGACTGCGTAAACCCTCTCCTCTCCAACAAACGGACTTGTCAGCTTGTCATACCATCATTCTCGCACGATTTAAAGTGTGATCAAGTGATCAAAAGATCGAGATAAAGAGACGCATTGAAATTGCTAGGTCCATTTCCATAAAAATGAAGAAACTGTTTAACCCTTAATATCCTAACGTGACATATAAGTTACGCAATATTGTGTAATTTAAACAGCGCCCTGTAAGAAAACTTATGATAGGATCGCTTAGATGATGTAAGTTTTGTGCAATTTGTCACTTCTTCTAATGCATGTTTACTAGTTTGCAGTTAAAATAAGCTTGCAAACATTTAAAATAAGCTGTCGATAAATATTTATAAAAAATGGACATCAATCTTCTACATAGCCTACATCTTTTTAATTTTATTTAAATATTTCACTACCACTTAGTCCTGTGTAGCCCCAAAGTATTACAGATTACAGTATTATTCAGTATTACATAATATGGAACGCTAGGATAATGTACTGTTGTATTTCAGCAAAAATAAACATAAGACGTGATTTCATTCCCAGCGAATTATTTACTAAGATTTATAAAACATTGTTAACTGCCAGTTGGATAACGATGATCATGGATCAGATATCATGTATCACTTTCGCGATCGCTGTGTTCGCGATTCTCGGCGTTTTGAGGAACAACGATTATTGCCATGTGGGGATTTACCAACAGAGAATTTTAAGCTACTACTCCACTGCTAACATGTTGGGTGAGTTACCCACCAATAATAGAAACCTACCATATAAACTCTTTGTAGACAACTTGTTTCAGTGTTAACCTACTGTAAAATGGTATTTTGTGCACTGGTACCATTCGTGAAAATCGTTTATGGTACAGAAGCTAAAAGTGCAAGTCGACCAAAACCCTCATTTTCAAGCAGTCTCGATAGTCGAAACAGCGACACCGTCAAATTTGACAGAGAAGATCACATCTTGATATGTATTCCAAACAAGAAAAGACGACGGTACGCATTTTAAAATTGCATTTCTGTTGTTAGAACCATGTGTAGGAAAGTGTGATTTGTGATTGTGCATTGATTGTAATGAGCAGTTTCATACACGATAATTCTCTATAGGTACATATGTAAAACATATTTTTTGTTTAAATATATCATTTAATAAAGCTTTTGCATTTTTTCTTATTTTGCTCCCTGTATGTCCTAGAGTGACATATGTCACATCTAATAACTTTTTTTGTTAACTTTTTTTGAAAATAAGCTCAGAAACTCGACCAGAGGACTCCTACGAACAAATTACCATAAAATATATCATTTTTCAAAAATATAATAATTCAGGATATTAAGGGTTAATAATCGTGATATCAGTATTCCTCTACGATTAAGAATGTTAAGAAAATATGTGTTTAGTACCTTGTTGTACGGCGTGAAAACATCGACACATACACAACAGTATAAAAAGCAGTGAGAGTTTCGAGATGTCGTGCTATCGTCGAATATGAAGAATGAGTTTGTTTGGCCGATTTACAAATGAAGAAGCATTACGTTGAATGGACAAAAAGTCCGAAGCAAAAAAAACTTATACAATTAATCAAGATGCGTTAAGAACAACGAAAAACGAGTGAATTTAAAGTAAAATACGAGCTGAGACATGGAAATCCGGTCTTCAACCTAACCCTGGAAATAATAGTACAAGGGTGCAACGTAAAAACAACACAAACGGTTTTCAAAAATGGGCATCAATGTTTTACTTTGATGTCTAGATGAGCGAACATTTGTAACATACAAAAAGGAGTGAAAATTTAAAAAATAATTGAAAACATCATTTAGGTAGCAATAAAGTTTCTCTTTATACTAGGAGATGTGAAGCTTTGGTTTATAAGACAAACATGAAACAAAAAATCAAGAATAGTGAATCAGGAATGGGTCGGAGAATATGCAAACGTTAGTAAACAAGAAGAAAACTGCTTAGCAGAAATGAAAATCAACGAGAAAGAGAAAGAAAGATTACAAGATATATGAAAAATTAAATCGAGATATAAAAAGAGAAGTAGTGAAAAGTAAAAATGAGATGTGGGATCGAAGATGTGTAGTAGTGGATAGGTATATGGGTGGAACAAGAGTTGGGCAAGCGTGTAAGGTAATAAAGTCTCTACGGAGGGAAGAAAAGGATTAATCTATCTTACAGTTAATGGATCTGAAACAGTGCAAACACCATTATGAGGTCTTACTGACATGAGATAAGCTGGGTCGACAGAGTTAGAAATGAGGAGTCCTTAGACGGCTGAACCAAACAACACAAGTGGTCAATATAATAAAGAAACGCAAGCTGGAATACTTCGGTCATATTATGAGACACCCTGAAAAATATGATCTTTTACATCTGATCATTTAGGGAAAGATCCAAGGTAATCGTGGTCCTGGTAGAAGAAGAACATCATGGCTGAAAAATCTAAGGCAATGGTATGGAAAATCAACTACATCGTTATTTAGAGCTGCTGTCAATAAAGTCACGATAGCGAATATGGTAGCCAACATGATATCCAACGATCGATAACGGTCATGGAACTAGAAGAAGAAGACTGACAGAGGATAGATGTAAATTCCAAGAGATCGAAATGGAAGAAATATCTGAACATACACAAATAATTGAGATAATAACCGGAGAGTTAAGTGATGTCCTCAAAAGATTGAAAAACGGTAAAGCATCAGGACCTGGAGACCACCCAATTGAGTTGGTAAAGTATGGACCAAAAATTATATATGAGATGTTGTTCAACTATTTAACAAATGCTTAAAAGGACAAAATATCCCCGATGATTGGAATGTTGGATATATCAGCTCGATATTCAAGAAAGGAGATAAACGCAAATGCTCTAATTATTGGGGAATAACTGTTATCCGCTCAGTGGGAGGTTGTACGGTCGAATAATACAAGAAAGAATAGAAGCAGAATACGAAGCCATATGTTGATGCTATCGCAAATATATACAAAAATGCAAGAAGTGTCGTTAAAGAAGGAGACTTTATATCTGAAACATTTTCAATAACAAAGGGGCTTAAACAAGGATGTTGTCTATCTCCAACCTTATTTAAAATATATATTCAATCATCGCTAGAGCAGTGGAGGAAACAAGTATCCGGAATGGAAATAGCCATAGGCGGTGGTAAATGTCTAACAACTTTATTTTTCGTAGATGATCAGGTAGTCATAGCGATTGATGAGGAAGACATGGACTACATTTTTAGAAAACTAAAGAAAGAATATGAAAAATGGGGCCTCAATATGAATATGTTAAAGATAGAATATCTTAAATAGGAGCTGATGAAGAAGATCAAGAGTTAGAAATTAGAAACACAAAAATATACAATGAATATAAATATCTCGAATCTATAATATCTAAAGAAGGTACTACCAAAAGAGACATTGAATACAGAACGCAGCAGGGAAAAAAGCGGTTAACATTCTAAACTCTCTACTATGGTCTAAAGATATTAGACAAGAAACGAAATTGACAATCTATCGAATCTTGGTGGAGCCTATTATGACTTATTGGGCAGAAGTTTGGCAGATGACGAAAAAAGATAGAAAAAGAATAGAAGTAGTAAAAATGGATTTTGTAAGAAGAGCGTTTGATGTATTCAAAAAAGATCATATCAGGAATGAAGATATTAGAAGGAGGACAAATACTGTATATTCCAGTGTAGACAGAATTGAAACGAGACAACTAGTTTGGTATGGTCACGTGAAGCGAATGAATGAAAATAGATGGCCAAAGACAGCTTTAAATTACATACCACAACAAAGAAAAAGAAGGGGAACGCCTTCAGTTGCCTGGGAAGAAAATGTACGGCACATAATGAGAGATGGAGCCATCAAAGAAGTTGAAATGCGAGAAGTGGTAGAGTTTTTCATTATTTTACGAAATACAGCCCAATACATGAAAAGTCAACTTTTTAAAAAAAAATTTGCAAAATGGAGGTACTGAGGGATTGTAAACTTTTTTTTTAATAACAATAAACACTTTCAACTATATATTCCCAAATTTTTATCCTTGATTTATTTTTTGGGTTTTGGTAAAATTGTGTGTTCATTGACCGGGCTATGAGGAATGTAAACATAAACATTAATTAAAGTATTATAGTCATAAGGCACACAAATTGCATTCCACATTCCACCATTTTAGTAGGTATACAGGTTCAATATTTTATTTTATTGAAAGATGGAAGTGCGAATTTATGTTACCCATATTCGTAAGAAATTTATAGTCTTCTATATTTTATTATTGATAACTTAAATACCTATGAGAATTAAGTTTCTTTCTATATCGTTCCAAAGGTAGAAATTCGAGCAACATATCGGCAGTGACGTATGAAAATGATAAAACTATGCATCTCTGCATATTTAAAAGTATTAACACAGAAACATTTCTTAATCTATTCAAGTATCTTTATCCTTCTCGTTGATGCCCGGGAAGAACGCTTCAATTGGTAAAATAGGATCTTCTGTCGAAATGGTAAAATAGTTGGGTACCCTCCTACTGACTGGAGCTACGTTTTTGAATAACCCAGGAGTATCGTATTCACTCTTAAACGAAGAGGTTAAATCAGATACTCTCTGCGAATAGTCATCTTCGTTGACATCAAGTGTTGTTAGATGCGCATCGCTGGGAGTACTTATTTTAACAGACTGGTATTCTGTCGTAAGTTCAGAGTCTTCCTTATCCTCTTCTTGTTTTTCTTCGGGTTCCTTTTCTTTTACAGGTAATTCTTCTGGTTTATTTAACTTAGTTCTCATGTTTATAGATGGCTTTCTTCTGTTTAAGTAAATAGATGGTTTAATTGAGACTTTAGCCTTCGGACTAGCTTCTGTACTTGTTTTGTATCGATCAAATGGTCTTAACCTTGTATTTACTGCCTTAATGTTAGTCTCTGGAATGATATTTGGTAGTTCTGTTGTTGTTGAGTGTCTGGGATCTTTAGGTTTAAATCTTCTACGTATTACTACTTCCGTAGTGGTTTCCTCTGCGGGTGGAGGAGCAGTTGTTGTAGAGGAATGCGTTGGTCTTGTTCTTAGCCTTGCCGGAAATCTAAAATATAAATATAATATGAATGTTCTAAAAGTAAGATATTATTAAAAAAATATATCTCAAAAATACTAATATTTTAGTATATGGACAAAGATGAAATTGAAACGCGGAATTAACAAATATGTAATGTTGTCCCAAATTGGTATGTTTTGCGGGGTATACCGAAATCTAGAGGAGGTGGAAAAAAAGTAGTAATATGCGGTAATTATAAAAGTATCAGTTCATATAAAATATATACACGAATCATAAATAATAGATTAAAAACAGTCGCTGACGTATTGCTACTGCAAAAACAAAGGCTTCAGGTAAGGCAGACCCTGCATCGAAAGTGTCACCATAATACTGCAGCTAATTGAGAAATGCAAAGAATACAATTTAGAAATGTATATTGGATTTATCGACTACTACGTAAACGGATTAACTAACAATATAATTAAGCTGCTGAGTGGAATTCCTAAAATCAAAATAGCTAAATATAACACCATATCCAATTACAGCTTACTCTATAAGCTTAAAAACCAGAATCCACTTCTAAATCAGAGTCCTCTCATTTATCAACTGGCTTGTCTTGAATGTGATGGCCACTATATAGGTCAAACATCGCAGCGGATAAAACAAAGGATAACGCAACACAAAAATGATTGTAAAACAGACTTACTTTACTTTATCGTGTTCGGACATGTCCGGAGTGGCGTTGGTTTCATGCACCCCGTTACTATCCTGTATGTCTCATTTAGCGCAGTATCAATTTGTTTGGTGTGGGCAGATCTGCCCCAAACGGTGCACACATATTCAGTAGTTGGGGAACACAGTGCCTGTGCTGTTATTCCTAAAACGCCAGGATGTTCACCCTATTTACTTCCCGTTAGCTTTTTGAGTATGCTGTTCGTAGTTGTTACTTTCCCTCTCGTTTTTATGCAATGTTGTTTGTAGGTGAGGGACAGGTCCAGAGTTACTCCAAGATATATAGGTTGGTTTGTGTGCTCTAATGTATTACCATTCACGTAATTTGGAGTTTTTACTTGGTTGTCTTTGCGCGAAGGTGGAAGGCACAGAATTAGGTTTTAGGCGGATTGGGTGTCAGGGAATTCTGCAGGTAGTACACTGTCATTGTTTTTAAGGCAGTTTCGAGTTTCTTCTCCACTTCTTCAAAACCATTTCCTTGAGCACATATTGCAAGATCGTCAGCATAGAGGAAGTGCTTAGTTTGGTGACGTGGTTGGTGTTTGGTATATTGAAGAGCACTGGTGCTAAAACACTTGCCTGTGGGAGGCCTTTTTTTGAACTCTTTACCTACTTACTTTACCCTCTAGTATAACGAAAAAACGTCTGTTTTGCAGTAAGGAATATACGACCTTACTCAGATGGTGGACAACAGCGAAATAGGTCTGTAGCTACTGGAATTTTCTGGGTTCTTTTTTGGTTTTAACAAGACTATTACTTTAGATTTTCTTCATGATTTTGGAATTTCGCAGGCTTTGCTGCACGTGTTATAGAGTTGCAAGATCCAGTTTTTTACTCCTTGGCTTCGATGCTTTATTGGTTCACTGTATATATCATCCACACCTGCAGCTTTCCCGTTTTTTAACCTGTTCATACCGTCGTGGAGTTCTTTTAGTGTAAAAGGAGTTCCTAGGTGGTTTGTCTCCGAATTCAATCTTCTTCTAGTGTTTGGGTCCCTATATCGGTTCGTAGTTCTTCCATTCATAAGGAGTTGAGCAGCGACTTGGTTTGTTGTAACCTTGCAAGGTGGTTTATGTTCTTTTTGATCACCGCTAAGTTTTTTTACAAGATTCCATGTTATTTTGCTACTATGTGTTATGTACATTTTTTCCAGGGTCTCAATCCTACTTTTCCTGTCTGGCTTGACTTAGCTGTTGGAGTAGTACTGCGCATAAAGTGCTAGGGTCAGTGGAATAAAGGGTTTCGTATGTTCTCATTAGTTCTTTGGACTCGCTAAACATCCGGGAACATATTGTTGTCTACATCCTCTGGGGATAGCTTTTCTAGAGACATTTTTGAGTACCTCTACAAATTTTTCGTAGTTCTCTACTTTAGGTTCAAGACGTATCAGCTCAGAATCTAGCATGTCTGCATACTTTTGCCAGTTTGCGTTTTTGAAGTTAAATCTCCTTCTGAATGGAATAGCTTGTGGTCTGACAATTGGAAAGATATTTATACCAATTGGTCTACGCTGAGTTTTTGGTATGGAGCCATATATTTCTTTGGTACATTGGTCTTCAGGTTATTACTTGAAAAACAGATATCCGGTTATATCCTTTTTTCTGGAAAAGAGGATGTAAAACAGAGAAAAATTCTTTTGCAGTAGTTACACCATTCCATCACAACAGGCCACACATTTAATTTATTGAATATCAAGATCTTGGATATAGAAAACTACTATTAAAACAGATTATTTCTCAAAATGTACCACATCAATAAAAAAATATATCAATTAATTATAAGACAGGCACTTGCAAGTTAAGCGACATGTACTGTAATATTTCAAAATTCTGAAAAACCAAAAAATATCTAACATCTGTTTCGATAATAAAACTTGGCCTTAATGACACATCTGAGAAACAGACCAAAATCCGTGTCGCCTTGTACATTCGTAGAATAATATCCCTGGAACTGCACACTGGGGTCTGAAAAACCCAGGCGCATGAATCGTTCAATGTAACTTGCGCATGTCTGCGTCTTTTGGCGATCCCTTGCACGTAAATTCAGTTAAGAGCCGACTACGTTGAGAGACAGTCGCTGCTCCGTGTAAGTTTGTTGTATAGTTTGCTGTGGTGCTTTTAGCATAAATGTTTTATAAGAAAAATAACATGCTTACCTAATTCTAGAACCTTCCGATGTAGTTTTCACAATATCAGTCGTAGTAGATGGTGTACTTGTTGTAAATTGATTTAATCGCTGCCTATAATCCTTTACACTAAACCTGGGCCTGTTGGATGTTTTGAAATTGGTAGGCCTTGTTTTAATCCTGCTTATTTTTGTAGTGGTTTGCGCTTCCGTTGTGGTAGTTGTAGGAATCGTCGTAGCTACTGTTGTATCCACTATTTGTTCTTCCTCAGTCTGATATTGTGGAGGAACCGTAACAGCATCGATTTCATTTTCTGGGTTACGAATATTTAACTAAAAAATAATTAGTAATAAGTTGTGTTAACAAAAACATGTAAATAAAAAGCAGTGTCAAAAAATTAATTAATATCTTCTTTTTTGGTGTTTTTTCATATAACTATTACATATAAAACTTATTTTGGGCACTTCTTAGCGTCGTTTTTATCCAATCTCTATACTATTAAGTCAGGAACATTGTTGACAACCTATTTCACCTCTACCTTTGATTTTATCCTCTATTATAAGCCTTAATGGAACACGCATTTGTTGTATCTTATTACATTAAAATTCCGTACTTGGCACGTGCAACTAGTGGCGTAGTGGAAATAAATATTATTAATAAATAAAAGTATATTTGAATGATACTATATTTGAGTGCACGAGATGCAAAACTCGCTAATCGACAAAAATTGAAAAAAGTAGTTAAGCACGCCATCTTGTTCGTACAATATTTAATTATTATTTTACACAAGTATTTGGAGCAAAACTACTTTTTAACACACGAAAATCCGTCCCAAAAATCATGACTTGATGCAAAACTCGCTTTATGCATTGATGCGTGCGATGCAAAAACTCTCTATTTGTACGGCGTTCAATCACAGCATCGGATTTTACTCACGTGGTTAGGGAAGGGCATCATGCATTTTGTTTGTTTCCTGGTATGGTTTGACCGTTTGACTCAGTCGCGTTTTAGCAGTATTCTGAATTGTTTGTTTAACTTGAAGTTTCCCGTTTTTAAAATTATTAAAATGCAAATAGCAGTGAAATTTCTGCAGCCAATGATAGTGTTAGTTCTGCAATACAACCTACTCCAAAGAACATGTGTAGAAAGAAAATTACGACGGAAAGTAAAAGACAAAAGCTCAAAAGATTAAGGTAATAAAAACGATATCAATTTGTTAGAATATTTTTTTAAAACTGTGTTTATTTTAGGCAACACTCCGACACATTTTTTTTAGCACACTTCTGCTAAAAAAATGCGTGTTTGTAAGACGGCATTCTTAAAAATCACATCCCTTAGTAGAGATCGGATTGAGAGAGTCATGAAAAACTTTGTTTTAAAAGGGAATCTACCACGAGAAACAAGAGGAGGTGATCGCATACTTAATAAAAACGATGATAAAAAGTTAGCAATAAAACAGTTCATTGAATCTCTCCAATGCATAGAGAGCCATTACTGTAGAAGTCAAATCAGTACTCGTGTTTATTTACCATGTGAACTTAATTTTACAAAATTATGGAAAATATACGAATCTAAAGTTCGCGATAACCAACTACATGTTAAACTGGCATTTTTTAGGACATACATAAATTACAACATCGGATTTGGCACTCCAAAAACTGAGTTATGCTCAACCTGCTTAAGATCGAAGGAAAAGTTAAAAAACAAAAATATTTCTAGTTCAGAAAAGCAAATTATTATCACCGAGCAACGGATACATAGACTTAAAGCAAAGGCATTTTTTGCCTTATTAAAGCAGCCGCTAGAAAATACAGCGGTTTTTTCGTTTGATTGTCAGAAAAATTTGCCTTTGCCGAAGCTTCCGGATCAAGCTAGTTATTTTAGTCAACAAATTAACTATTACAACTTTACGGTAATTCATGGATCATCACCAGCACAGTTGGTTCCAGAAAATGTTTATTCTTATGTTTGGACGGAGGTTGATTTTCCCAAAAATTCTAATTCGATAGCTTCAGCTGTTTGGGATCTACTGAATAAGTTTAACTTTCCCAATGAAATCGATACAATTCGTTTATTTGCTGATGGATGTGGGGGGCAAAATAAGAATATTATAATGATGACCATGCTTTCTGTTTGGTTGATGACGAAAGCTCCCAAAAACATAAAGACCATTAACCTAATATTCCCCGTAGTAGGACATTCTTTTATACCACCTGATAGGTTGTTCGGAATAATTGAAAGAGAGGTTAAAAAGAAATCCATTATTTTAAAAACTTCTGACTACGAAGATAATATAGCAAATAAGTCGACAATTAGAAAATTGGGTTTAGATTGGCAGGTGTATGACTGGAAGAATGAAGCACAAGTAAACACCAAAGCACCATCCTCATGGCACTTTCAGTTTAATAAGGCTAAAAGGTTTGTGCTTACTAAAGGGAAAACCAATGCACTAATACGAGGTGAGCCCAATTATTGTGTTGACGTCGGTGAAGCCAAGTCTGTTGTCAAGAGAGGAATAAAATTGACACGTATCAATCCTACTCAACTTCCTATTGGCTACAAACTCAAAGGCGATAAATCGACAATAATTTCTCTTCTCAAAAAACATTATGGAAACGCCTGGGAAGAAAATCCTGATTTGGTTTTCTTTAAAGAAAATCTTGTTAACCCTCGAATGGTGGAAAACCAAAATTCTGTAAACGATGTTGAAGCTGGCTGCAGTGTTTAAAACCTTTGCGATATTAATTTACCAATTTAATGTAATATGTAAATCACTGTTTAGTTTCTTTGTGAATAAAATTTGTTTCAAACTATTGATGTAACATTTTTTGGTGCAAAACTCGCTAAATGCATTCTTTTTTTTTTCATTTATTTAAAAAATCTGCACTATTTTTTTAAAATATGTTAAAAACTATTAGAGGTGTATATGTTCTAAAGGCACGCTAACATCATTAATTGGTTATTAAAAAATATAATGCAAAAAACGTTTTTTGCACTTTTCTCAAATTGACTTTACATGCATTAAGCGAGTTTTGCACCTCGTGCACTGATTGATGAGATATAAAGAAAACTTTATTTTAATGAAATATTATTTGGTGTTCACTGCACAAGTGAACCAATGGAGAAACCGCCCCGAGAAACCAAAAATGGGAGGTTGAGGTCGAACAAGTTTGTCTTATTGACATTTACACTTCGAATAGCTTATAAATAAATGTATGGCAAATAACTCTAAAGGGGTAAGTTGATGGAAAGACGAACGATTTCGTGGTTAAAGAAGGCAAACTTTTACTTGGTTTAAGGCAAATATAGGGATATTCAAGATCAAGATGGCCTCAATACCCATAACAGATATGCACTAAAACAATCTTATATGAATATCCTGAGAATATCATGAAATATTTTTCAACGATCTGTATGTATTACTTACCACAGTAGTTTCTTCAGGAGTTATCGTAGTTCTTAATCCCTTATATCTAATGTCTTCAATTAAGTTGTCACTGGACGTACTCTCATAGCTAACTTCGCTTTTATCTTCGTAGCTCATGATGGCTTCTTCGTAGTCAACAATTCTTTGAGGTTTAGGTGTTGTCTCTAAATCAGAGTGGTAGAAGTATTTTGATCTGAATCCATTGTTTTCGGCTGGTTCGTTGTATTCTGAGTTAACCATTTTGTGATTTGCTGGTTTCGAGGTTGTTGTTGTTGGTCTGGTTCGTTTACGATATACGGAACTTCTTACGTCACTAGGGTCTTTAATTCCGCTCCCTAAAAATATAGTATATTATTTGTTATTCTAATTAATATAGTACAGGCATGTCAAACATGCGGCCCGCGGGCCGCATGCGGCCCTTCAGGCATTTTCTTGCGGCCCGCAGCCCGATCATATCAGGTAATTTTCTGCGGCCCACGAAGCCCAACCCAATGTATGTAGTACAATAGTTAAAACATTTTATAAGAACGCATGAAGAGCACAGGGGCAGAAAATGGCTGTGTTTCTCTCCCGCACGCACTGCAACTGCAATACTTGAGAAGTACATATTGTGATTGTTGGAAATGTCTTGTGAGAGAAGGGTCTAGTGATAAGGTGATAAAAATTAGCACCCCTGCGGTCTGACCGCTTTATCTGGGGTTCTATTGTTTGCGAAATAGCGGGTAATTTTGTTGCAAAAAAAACTCCACTGCCTGTTAAATAAAGTTTATTTTCGTTTAACCAATAAAGTGGACACTACTATCTTTAAGGCCGTCTATTATGTATAAACCGATAATGACAGATAATATTTTCAAGTGTTTTCTATTGCATTTCGGGCGAGGCTACTTAATACCTGCGCCCGCGCCAGCCTGTTGCTATGCAGGAGGCGGCAGCGCGGCAGGCGGGCGGCCAGTAAGTAAGAATGTAACCAACCAACCAGAATCAAGAACCAGTTGACGACCGATCGACATCGACGCGCCACTCTGTTGTGTTTTATTCTGTGATTTTATTTTATCGAAATAGCGCGCTACCTACTGTTTGTATCGAAATAGCAGATTGTTTTTAGAGATTATTTATGCCACTACTACTGTAAAATGTCTCTTTCAAAACCAAGTGGAAGTAAGAGGTAAATCACAGACGAACATCGAGTATTTCAAGAAAAATGGGAGTTGGAGTTTTTTTGCAATGAAGTGAAAGACAAAATTATTTGCCTGATTTGTAACAGTACAGTGAGTGTCCCTAAATTATACAATATCAAACGTCACTATGATCAGCACAAAGCTAAGTATAACCAGTATGTGGGGGCAATAAGAAATGAAAAATTAACCGAGTTAAAAGTACGATTAACAAATCAACAACTCATGTTTACACGAGCTAAACAAGAAAATGAGTCTGCTGTTTATGCAAGTTACGTACTTTCAATTTTAATCGCCAAACACTCAAAACCTTTTGCTGAAGGTGAATTTATTAAAGAGTGCCTCGTGAAAGCCGCAGAAATTGTTTGTCCCAGAAGCGTTACAGCTTTTCAAAGTATATCTTTGTCGCGGAATACAGTCGCTGAAAGAGTCACTGAGTTGGCTAGTAACATAAGCGATCAAATAAAAATGAAATCAGATACTTTTATCGCATTTTCAATTGCCTGCGATGAAAGTACAGACGTGTGTGGTGTGGCTCAACTCGCTGTTTTTTTTTTCGTGCTGTTGATAAAGAAATGAATATTTATGAAGAACTACTGGAATTGGTGCCTTTGCATGACACAACGACTGGGGAGGATATATTGAATGCTGTGTATGAACTGCTACAACGGTATAATTTGAATTTATCAAAATTGTCTTCTGTTGCAACTGACGGGGCTCCTTCTATGACAGGAATAAATAATGGCTTCATTAAATTATTACAGACCAGAATTAAGGAGACATACAAAGACGTACCAGATTTTCACCACGTTCATTGTATAATACACCAAGAAATCCTATGTTCAAAAGTGATAAAGATGGAAAGTGTGTTAAAAGCAGTAAAAAAAAATTATTAACTTTATAAGATCACGTGGTTTGATTCAATTATTTACTTTTATTATGTAATTAAACTATTAAACGATTGCTGGACTATCTTTACTATACATTTTTTCTGTTTGGCCGATTCTTGCGGTGCGGCCCATTGATACTGTGATCATTTTAAAAATGGCCCGCTAAGTACTTTTAGTTTGACATGGCTGATATAGTATATACAGGGTGTTTCATTAATAATTGGAAATATTCTAACTGTAGACTTCAGGGCTCAATATATTAAGGTTTAATCCAAATTACTTAAATATAAAAATGCGGCTCCTTACTGAGTTACAAGCTATTTTATCTAAAAATTTAAAAACTTTTTGTACCCAGTACTTTAAAACAAATTTTAAGCCATTGAACTAATACTTTCTATGTAAATAATATATCGTCGCTGAGCTATAATCGCTAAGCGATGATCAGAAGCGGAGTGTTTTTACTGAAGCGATGATTTGATTAGTGAGTTTTCCATTGTGTAGTGAACAAGCGACTTTGTTGCAGCGATGAGTGTATGTAAACGAGAACAATTATTCTTAAAATTCCTGTTAGCACAAGGAATAGAGGACGAAGAAATTTTAAGTGTTCCAAGGTTAGAAAAACATGCAATATTTAAAGGAAGACAAGAAGAAGGATACTTCTCAAACTTTCTTCAAAATTTTGATAAACAACCATTTATTAGGAAATGGTGTTAAGTTTTCACAATTCTTCCGTTTAAATGAAGTTAAAGTTTTTTTGTTGAGTTTAGTAAAACAAGTCGTTTACAAAGTGTATTCCATATCTAGTGTTTCCAGAAAAAAATCTCTCAAACTCCTAAAATTACATGCACAATCCACTATAGTCGCTCAGCGGTTGCGATTGTGTCTGCTAGAGAAATAATGAATTTTACATATTTTTGATGCCCTGATTTCAAAAGTTACTTCTTTTTCATAGCAGTTTTTTTAATGGATGGCATAGTTTTAACTTTGCTCGAAAAGATATACACAAAGGCACCTGGAAATCAGCAGACGGACTTACAGTAAATATGATAGATCATTATATTGTAGACTCAAGACACCAATCCAATATAATAAACTTTCGTACCCGAAGAGGAGCAAATGGGGTTCTGATCACTACTGGATCAACAGTAGGGTAAGGGCCAGAATTTTAAACATTTAAAAAAATAAATAGGTTCTAAACATGAACGATACAATGTAGAAGGACTTAAAAATACAACCAAAAATAAAGAATATAAATAAAATATACACATCAAACTAGAAAATAGATTTAAACATGAAAACATAAATGAACACAAGATTTATTTTGACAACTATTTTTCGTCGGTATCTTTTATGAAATATTTATTGGAGAACAATATTTACGCATGTGGTACAGTAAGAGCTGATCGTGCTAATTTGTCACAAGACAATAGACGAAAACAGACAATAAAATGGTCTTCACTAGGTGGAAAGATAAGAAGGGGATCAATTTTTTGTCCAACTTTCATTATCCTATTGAAATGGTATATTTCGAAAGAAGACAAAAAAATGGTTCCAAAGAAACTGTGGCTGAACCAACGGTTGTAAACGACTACAACAAATATATGGATGAGGTGGATAAGGCAGATATGCTGAAGAGTCTATACGAAATAAATAGAAAAAGTAAGAAATGGTGGCATCGCATTCTTTTCCATTTACTTGATTTAGCAGTAACTAATGCGTTTATCATATTTAAATGTAGAAGTCCAGGACGTGCATTATCATTGAAAGAATTCGGATTAGCCGTTGTTACAGGTCTTATTGTTGCTAATACTTCTTCTTCTTCTTGTGCCGTCTTCTAACGAAGGTTGGCGATCACTTCTTTAAACGCTTCTCGATCTTTTGCAACGTGAAATATCTGTTCAACACTGAGGTTAGTCCAATCTCTGATATTCCTCAGCCAAGATTTCTTCTTTCTTCCCAAGCGTTTTCTTCCCTCTACTCTACCTTGCATGATGACTTGTAGCAGAGAGTATTTATCGTTTCGGAGTATGTGGCCCAGATACGATGTTTTTCTTATTTTAATTGTGTTCATAAGCTTTCTGCCATGTCCAACTCGTCTTAACATTTCCTCATTTAAGACTTTTGCAGTCCAAGGAATCTTCAAAATACGCCTATATAACCAAATTTCGAATGCCTCTAATTTTTTTTAGATTGGGCTTTCAGAGTCCAAGCATCTACCCCATATAGTAATTGCGTCCAAACATAACATTCGACGAACCTCAATCTGATGGCCATACTCAATTTCTTATTTGTAAACATTGACTTGTATTTTATAAAGCCTTTTCGAGCTATTTCTATTCTGACTTTATCTCCTGCTCTTGATCTAACTGTGAGTTTATAATTGCTCCGAGGTATTTTTATTTGTCGACTTTCTCTAGGGGTTTACCCTCCAATGTCAGTTGTATGTTGTCAACAGGGTTTTTTTAAGATCACCATGTATTTGGTTTTATTAATATTCATTGTTAGTCCCATCTTTTTGCTTTCTCTGTTAATGATTTCCAGGAGAGTTTGTAAATCGTCTATATTCTCTGCCATGATTGCGGTATCGTCTGCAAATCTTATGTTATTAATTATGCTCCCTCCAATCCTTACACCTTCAGTTCTTTCCCATAGTGCCTCCTGAAATATTAGTTGGGAGTACACATTAAATAATTGTGGTGACAGCACACATCCCTGTCTGACTCCTCTTTGAATTTCCACTGGTTTGTCTCACTATCTTCCACCCGTACGACCGCTGTTTGATTGTAGTACAGATTTTTGATTAAATTAATATCCTTGGGATCTAGGTGTATGTGTTTCAATGCATGTATGAGTTTACCATGTTGGACTCTATCAAAAGCTTTTTGGAAATCTATATAACATAGGTGCTAATACAGATACCCTAAAAAAGGGACCAAAACATGCAGTAAATAGTTTTAAAAAATATGTGCCTATTGAAGTTAGATACGATAGAGTGACTCATTTGCCTCTTCATGGAACATCAAGATGTGGGTTATGCAGTACAACCGCAAAAGGTTAATCGGACTCGTCAAAGTGGTTTCACGGTGAAACCGTACTTTTTTTGTAATATTTGTTACGATTAAATTTAAATTTTCAGAAAAAGTGTTAATTTAATTAAATAAGTTTCCGAAATTTCTTTTATTTAAAAAAAAAAATGAAAAAAAAAAACTATGTGGGCCTCAAAGGGTTAACGAGGAATATCAGATTATAATAGAGACTAAAAACATAACATATTTGATGATGCAACAGAGGTACAGAACCTGACAAGCAGATGAGGAATATAAATATCTACGCAATGAAGAAAAGAAAATCCACCACAGAAAGAAGAGAAAGACTATCAACAAAGAACTACAAGATCTCATACAAAATTTTGTCAGAAACTGAACAAAAGCAAAAAGGAGAATAATATATTGACAGATCAGTAAGAAAATCTAAGAAGATGGAATTCTGGAATTCCTGAATGAGACTGAAAATGTTTTAGATTTTATTGATATATTAGATATGCGTTATTGAATTAGATTAGATCGATGAGATATTCTTTGTGGTAAAACTCATAAGGGCAGCCAAATTATACAATTACTTACGATATTACGCGTATGACTTATCTTAATATTTCTTTGCTGGAATATAGTGGTGTGTATAGTACCTGGACTTCCTCCCAAGTATGAATAAGGATATGTAAAATAGTTTTAAAGAACTGGATACAAACAGTTTTTAAATTTTTAATCAAAACACCTCGTAACTCAGTAAAGAGCAACATTTATAAGTGATTTGGGTTAAACGTTAATATTTTGCTCCCAAGAATGTACAATTAAAATATTTCCAATTATTAATGAAACATATTGTATACATATTTATATATTTTTTAAACACATAATCTGCAAATAACATTATATTTACTTAAATAGCCCAACAAGTAAAATTTTCACATTTTAGTATTTTCTGATATTGGCAAAATAAACTAACCTCTTTGCCTATACCGATTTCTTCCTCTAACTTTCTTTTCTCCACTATTTTCTTCATTTTCACTAGAAGGTGTAGTGGTTCTATATTGAACGGGATTCTCTTGAATGTCTTGATTTATGGCACCACTTCCCGTAGGGACTCTATATCTATTAGGTCTGGTACGTAAACGTTTTGGAGGAGGTTTTTCTGTTTCCACTGGCAGTTCTTCGTTTACATTTACTGGCATGTACGCTTCGGTCGCTGGCGGTTCTTCTGTCGTTGTTGTAGTAGAAGTGGATGGTGTTGGTCTCCTAAAAAATTAAACATCGACGCTAATTCAAAGATACAATGCAGTTATTGAGTTCTATAAATACCAACTCCTGCAGAATAATGAACATTACTACTAAGAGCACGTGCTTAACCCATAAACAATAAAGAAGATGGTATGAATTCTACACTGAATTACTAGAGGGTGATGATATTTTAAGCTCTACCTACATAAAAATTATAGAAACAAACCTTGGTTGAGGTCTCCTTCTTCTTTTCTTTGTAGTGCTTTCTTCTCGTTGAGTAGTCACCTCGTTTCCTATTTCGTTATCATTAATGGGACTCTCAGTTTGTTCTTGTACAAATGCAGGTCTTCCTAGAATTGGATAATGCGTCGAGACTTCTTTAATATCAAAAAATAATGGATTGTTATTCAGTGCTGCATTTTTAAATTTATTCATTTTCTTGCTCACTTGTGAAAATACCGTGGAAGCTTCGCTTTGGGTTGGAGAGGTGGGATAAGCTGGATCGGGTCTGTAAGGAGTAGGGAGGAAAGGAGGAAGATTAAGTTCAACGATCGGTTCGTTTGTTATTTGAGGTCCAATTGGCTGTTGATGTCTGTGACTGTGAGCACCTGGTTGATCTCCTGGTTTAAGATAGCTAAATGTGAAAGGATTAGGATTATCTTGCCATTTACCTGTAATAAAAAAAAAATGATCGTAACTCTGTCCATAATATTTCTAACATGTACAAAGAATGCCGCCTATATTTATTGTCGGGAAAAATAAAAGCTTTACAATCGACGTTGCCGGTTCCATAACGAGATAAAATAGGAGGGATTAACGAGTAACACCTCGTTGCAAAACCTAGGTCAGTTGATTCTGACTGTAAGTATTCTGTGATGACCCTTCTTGATGTTAAAAGAGGAATATAAAATTAAAAGAGGAGTACGGCAGGGATGCTTCTTGTCACCACTGCTTTTCAACGTTTGCTCTTAAAGAATATTCAGAAATGCACTTTATGAAAAAAAAAAAACAAGAAAAAATAATTTTGAACGGTGAGGTCATCAATAATTTGCGATATGCGGACCACACAGTACTCCTAGCTTCTACCGTTGATTGAAATATTATGGGGTATTATTATCCAATATTTCAATTAACGCTTCTACTCAAGAAGATCTACAAACATTACTTGATAATATCTTTGAGAGCTGTAAGGAAGCAGGACTGGATTTGAACATGCGGAAAACCTAAATACTCGTAATAAGGTAATCAATAAAATATAAAACCGTCTATAGGGAAAAGGTCGGCAAAATGGGGTACTTAAGGTTCACACATGGTATCTGGGCCACATTCTTCGAAACTTGAGCAAGTTGATCAACTTGTCTACCTTGGATTTCAGTTAAATTGCAACGCAGAGAGTCACGGTGAAATTAGATCCAGAATTGAGCAAGTCAGAGGTGCTTTTAGAAGGATATTCAAGGTATTATGTAGCAGAGACCTAATATCGGCATTGCGGATCCGCCTACTTCATTGCTACGTCTTCTTTCGGTCTTACTTTATGGTGACGAGTCTTGGACTGTGAATAAATTTAAGAGTTTCTTAGGGTGGAGAAGATTTGAAACCCCACAATACTAGAACTAATCTCAGCAAGACTACTGAGATTATAAAAAGCATCAATAAGAGAAAGCTGAAGTACTTCGGACATGTAATGAGAGGTTGCAAATATAGGTTGTTACAAAATATTATGCAAGGAAAAATAACAGGCAAACGCAGTTCAGGACGAAGAAAGACTTTAAGGTTGAAGAACTTACGAGATTGGTATGGTATTGATACGAACATGCTGTTTAGGGTAGCAGTGAATAAAATTAAGATGGTAATGATGGTAACCAACGTTTTCAAAGGACATGGTACATAAAGAAGAAGAAGATCGCTCCTTATCCAAGGTAATGGATATAGTGACTCGAATGGCGGAAATGATGGACAATATGACTATCAGTACGGCGTAACTGAGGAATGTGGCAACCCAACCTCTTAACCTTAAAGTATTGTTAAAGTACATTTTGACTCTATATTCAGTTGTTTAGTTACTGTGATTGCTAAATAAATTGTTTATATGTTAGAAATGGCAAAAATATGCTTGTCAAACAAAAAATTAAACGATAAAGTTAAAATCTTCGTTTTTTTACTTAAAAACTAAAATGGGACAGCTTAAAATTTTATTTTAAAAAGTAGTTATAGTATCAACAAGGTAGAGAAAGGTCTACGGGCGTATAGGTCCTAACGTGGAAGTATAGATAAATACTATACGCAGTTGATGTGTTGAATTAAAATGTCATTAGGAAAGAAAAAGTAGCATTTTGGAAAAGTGGAACCTTAAAATATGCTATAGTTACAACCTAAATATCAAATGGGGTTAGTTGACGATGGGAAAGATTTTTTAGGTGTGGATTTAGAACCAAAACTAGAGTGTGGAGACAAGTGCTTAAATAATGAGGTTGAAAGCTTAATAGGACAAAAGCAGAGTATTTGGAATGTCCATTTCCAGATGTATATTACCACTGCTAATAAAATAATATCTTTGATAATCAGCTTCGATAACTATCAGAGTTTAGAAAGAGTTATAGCCACGCAGATCACATACAATTAATAAGAACATTAATCATAAACTCAAACGAATATAAAATAATACTTTGGATTGTACATGTAGATTATGAAAAGGCATTTAACACTGTAGAAATATGGGTAATTTTCGATGCTTTGAAGCAAAAATACAATTAATGATTCATGATAATAACACAAATTTAATTACTTTACCTTCCGTTACTTCATACGTCTGTAACTTTGGAATAGCCGCTGGAGTGGGTACTGTATGGTAATCGTAGTCTACATAGTCACCACTACCTGTCTTGAATCTATTTGGTAAAATATTATGATACACTTTCAAATTTTCTTTGGTAACTTCAACATCGATTGCAGCAGGATGTTTAATTTTAAATGGCTTTTGTAAACCAAAAGTCTGGTCGTAGTTTACTACTGGTGCGTGTACTAAATTGTCTTGTATTTGTGGCTTCACAGCTTAAACAAATATTTTTTAAGCAAAATTAGTATTTAAATATTTATTATGTTTACATATACTATCTTAAAATTCATTAGCTTACGCACTAATACGCAAAAATATAGTAATAGCAGTAATAGCACTATATGGGTAAACCTTTGACATTTCTTTATAGAAATAGACCTATAATGTGACATAAAAATCATCACTTAACGGTTCAGTAAAAAAATAGCTTCAAAAGTATGGTACATTTAGGTGGTGCGTTTAGAAGACGTCCTATTGAGTTACCTCAAGTCAGTTGTTTATAAAATCCAACCAGCGTGACTTGGCAAATTGAGAGAAAGAATTACGCAAGCATGTCGCGCTATTACTAGAACAACATTTGCCAAAGTTGGTGCAGAATTTGAAAATAGTTTGTATTATTGTTTATAGAACAACGGAACCCACTTTGAATATTTATTTAATTGACATTTTTAACAAATTTGTAGTTCAACAAAAACCTTATTAAATTTTCCATTTAAACCATCACATCAATAGGAGCATCCACAGACATCAATCTCCCAATCAATCTCAATCCAAAGACTCAGACCCTCCAATCATACGAAAGCTTTTCTTCCTTACATCAAAGTGTCACTGACAAAATCGACAAAATTCTTAAACCAAGAGGAATAAAAACAATATTTACCCCCAACAAAAACTTTCATCTCTTGTCCGATCAATCAAAGACAATATTCCAAATGAACAGCACGGAGTTTATGAAATTCCATGTGCAGACTGTCCCCGATCTTATATAGCCCAAACAAATCGTAGGATCCAAAATAGGATTTATGAACATTCATTTCCGTTCGCAATTCCGATTCAATTTCAGCTCTCGGTCAACACCATCTTCATACAGGTCACAAAATTGATTTTGAAAACTCCAGAACCATAGCCCCATCCGCTTTTATAAACCAAGAATTATCCGAGAAGCCATAGAAATAGAAAAAAGGCCAAATTGTCTTAATAAAAGAGATGACGCCATACGGTTACCTTCTACATGGAGACCTCTCATAAAGAAAATATCGCCCCCTCCATCCTCGAATCCAAATCCCACTGTCGGAAATGTTCGTCCCAATCCCCACCCTAACCCACACCTAGGCCACGTCACCATCGACGGTATAAATGAACCGTCCCCTGTTCCCAGTCGTAGTAGTGATAGTGAAGTGAACAGTGATAAGTGTAGTAGTGTCTGGGGGCTCGGGAGACTGAGACCTCGGAAGCCCTGAAGAAGACATTAGAGAGGATGTCGAAAGCTCGGCCCAATGGATATCGACGCGGTTCAACCGGAAGACTGGTGAGTTTAATATTAATTTTTATAATAGTATTAATCTTAGCTCTAGGTTTAATTGTACTAACCGCGGAATTTACAATATATATATATATATATATATACTCAAAATCGAGATCTATATCTCGATATATAGATTTATATCTCGTATCTCTCTCGATATATATATATTCGACATCCGACGCGTCTCGAGCTTTCGACATCCTCTTTGAGGTCTTCTTCAGAGCTTGCGAGGTCTCAGTCCCCCGAGCCCCAGTAAAGCCAGCCCAGATTAGTGTAGTAGCCAGATCAGTGTATAAGTGTGTGTATTAAAGGAGATGAGCCGAAAAAGGTATGCTAGGAGACGAATGCTGGAAGAGACCAAGGTCTGATTTGGACTGTGGCGAAAATGAAGAAAAATTGAGCAAACTTACCATAATTTTCGTGAAACTCCAATACAGGTTCGGATACTGCTGCCGTACTATCCTTAAACTTAGGAATCTTTGCATTCTTCAACTTTTCCTTCTCTACTGCTAAATTTCTAGAGGGTGGTGGTGGTACCAAATTTCTGCTATATTCATCTTGCCCGTTTTTCCCTTTTGGAATAATAAAAGAAACACCAGGGCTTTTATATTGTTCGAAAACATTATCGCTTAATGACGGAAAACGGTTTATTTCCACGTGAGAGTTTGGCTGATTAACAGTAAAATGATTTTGTGTTCCGAATACACCAAGACCTTGTGTTTCTCGTGTTCTTACGTTGCTGGGTCCTTGTTTAATATAGGGATAATTTACTAAAAAATAAATTTTTACAATAAAATTTTATATTGTTAATATAAAATGATATAACATTAATATCTATCATCAGTGATATTAGATAAAACGGTACTATAGAACAATACAAAGCAATTTAGAAGAATTTGGGCACAGAATACAATCACCAAACAATAAGCGAAACGAAGGGCTTTTTCGCAATCCAAATTTCTGTGACAATCCGCCATGTTCTAAATAGTTTATCTGTCAACCTATAAAAACTGAAGTTTGTTATTTGTTTACGTATTGAAAAGTGTTGTTTCGTGTGTGTTATTTAATACTAAAAAAAATATAATACTAATATACATATTTTTGTAATAAACTCATTTTGATGACTGCACGAAAAGGAGAATTTTCTTGTGTTGTTCGTAGGTGCCCATCTAAATCTGGTGAAAAAAATAGGTACCCAAATCTCTTTTCAATACCGGGAGATCGTAACAGGTAAATTAAATTTAAAATTTAAATGCGTTACAAAAGTTATCTCAATATTTATATTTTAGTTAAATACACTTTTTTTAGAAAAAAATACGATTTATACAAACCAGATCTATTTAAAAAACATTACAGTAAATTCAACTTCAAGCTACGGACGATGGAAACAAATGCACGCTGGAAACACGCGTTTGTTCAGGGCCGGACTAGTAAATTAAAGCTGCAATACAAAACCTTATATAATTTGTAGACGTCTGACAGGTACAGATTATAGTACACCAATTTTTTAAATATAAAAATGATTCACCAAGTCGAGAGTTATTAACAACAAAATAAAGTATACAAAAAAAGTTTATAAAATTACCGTATTTTATCTTAACTTTCAGAATCTTATGTACTGTTGTCATCATTAAAGTTGATAATGATAGGCTCAATTTGTGCCTCAATTAAATTGTCCAACTCCAACATTTTTGGCTCCACTTCTTCTTTTATATGTTTGACGCAGTTTTTTCCATTTTTCCATGGTTACAGCAGACACAGCTTCATGAAATAAATTTTTAATATCAGCAAATTTAAACGTTGTGTTATGCATACTACATAATTCTTGACTTCCGCCCATACAAGCTTGATTGGATTGAACTCGCAGTGATACGGTTGGCAACCTTAAAACTATTCTATTTGTGCTTCTTACCAGTTCATTTACTATGTACTTATTATATTCGCCTTTATGTTGCTTAACGATTTCTAAAAGTTGCACCTTTAACATCGTTTATTCAAAGGGAATGTCTTTTGAGCGAAGACAATTTTGAATATCTGCCTTTTTTGTAGCCATAATGGGAATTTTTTCCATTTTCTGGAATGGTAAGGGGCATTGCCATTACAATTATAGCATTTTTTTCCAGTGTTTGGAACGCTAAAGTAGGATTATATTGTAATTCACATTTGTATGTATTAACCATTATTTTTTTGATTCTTATATCTACGTGATTTTTCTTAGCTCTTTTCCTAGGAGGACTTAGCGTTAACAGTTCCTCATTTTCATTTGCCGACTCCGTATCAGACATATTAAATAAATGGATTTATTATACTTTTCTCAACTAAAATAACAAAATGGGCATTTTCAAATTTACTTTTATAGTAGAGGATCCGATATAAGGTTTACCTACACCGCTTTGGTAAATGTTATATTTTTTACTAATGATTTTGATTCTTGAAAATCGTCATCTATCGTTTTTCAGTCTGTCAATTCTTTTTCGTCTGTCAATTCTTGTTCGCCTGTCAATTCTTCCTTGTCTTCCAGTTTTAAATTATTTATAACTCGAAACACGATCAACTTAAGAAAAATTACAAAATAAATTTTTGTTTAGAATGATCCAAAAAATCTAACACAATATCTGCCCGGGTTGATTTTTTTTAAATATATAAAAAAGGTATTTTTTAACTCTTTTCGGCACATCGGATTGAAATTTGAACCACCAAAATTTTTGCTACATGTTGTACAGTAGTCCACAAAATGAATCACCTATTAATCTATTTTTATCAAGTTACACCTAGGCAAGTGGTTTGTATTACTTATTCCCTCTGTCCCTATTAACTGTTATCTTTAATTGGTAAAATTCCCACGGTATTAATTATAGTCAGGACAAAATTATATCGAGCACCTCTTGTTTTTCATAATTTTTATTATACTAAATAATTTTTATCCATTAAACATATCAGTGCAGGTCGATATTATATCTTATCTTATGGCTTTTATAAATGCTTTATTATACTTACAGGAATTATTTTAAAGTGGGGAAAAAGTTTGTATCGACTATAATTAAATGTTCTTAAAAATGCTTTGCACTATCTACACACGATCTAACGATTAACAAATAAACAAACCAACAAACAGCTTTGCACAAAAATTACTGGGCCATTTCGCATTCGACAGAGGACGGAGCGGAAAAACGAAGTCCGCACCTATTAGGGCTAACTGCCTGACTTACGATCGTTCGACAATTTGGCCAATAACAAGGCGTTCGTCACGTGTAGACTCGAATATCACGCGGTGACTTGTGTTGATTCTGTCCGTAACTTGAAGTTGAATTTACGTAGTTTTAATGATTACTTCGTTTCTCAGTGTAATTATAATTTTACTACAGTTTCGAACGAATTCCTCATTACTTTTCTTAGTGTACTAAGTAGTTTAACTGTCATTGTCACTCCAAAATTTCTGTCCTACGAACATCAAAAGTACCGACAAAGCTTTCGCTTCTTGTTGGGTGGAGTATTCTGTGATTTGGGTGAAATGGAATAAAGCACGAATAAAGTAATGTTTTGTTTATGATTTAAAACTTATAGATTCCTTTAAACCTACTAGTTAATTCTATAATACCGTCGTAAAATGTGAACGATGTCTAGTAATTAATGTTGGAAATAAAAGGAAGAAAATCGACAGATGCATTTTAAAAAAATCATAATGCTGTGTTGAGTGGATGTCATGACAAAAATGAATAAAATTATAAATGGTTAAATTGGATTGGAAAGTCTATGTATGTCATACATCGACAAAAACGTAAGGTAAGAACGTAAATAACTTACTAACTACCGTAATACTTACATGAACCTGTAGGATGTATGTAAACTTCGTTTCTTGTACTATGAGACCCCATCGGCCCTCTAGGAGGAGTTTTTCTTTTTGGAGCGGGTACAATGTGTGTTACCGTCTTTATTGGTTTTGCAGGCATTGGATGTTTCCTAAAACCATATTGTGAAGGTCGTCCTAAAGACACTGCGTTAGGAGGAATGGTTTGATATTTTGGTGAGTTGAATTTGCTGTGTGGTGCAATCTTATTACCTGTAAAAATTAATAATCAAGCTTAATGAATCATATCTTCATTGTAATTAGTAAAACTCGTAACCGTTTTTTTTACATTTGTTTTTATTATATCAAATTGAACAAACATTATTCTCCTTCGGTCTCAGAAATCCTTAATATAATCGTCAGTCGATTATGTTAAGTTTATAACTAAACAAATATTATATAAAACCTCTTAACTCCATTATCTATTAATTTGAAATGGCAACTCTAGTAACTCCATCAGAGTTACCAGTTTTCATTTTTATATCAAAACACGATTACGCTCATTTTTATTGTTTTCAGTTATTAAGTAAGAGACATTACTGTTAGCATCTGCGTATAAAATCTTCGGCAATGTATTATTTGAAAGACTTAACATTTTACAAAGAATATTATTGGTCAATATCAATGAGGATTTACTACTGGAAAGTCAACTACACATTAAATTCAAGCACATAGGAAGATTGTAGAAAAGTCACTAGAATATAACATAGATACACAATATCTCTTTATTGACTTCAAATCAGCCTATGACAGTGTGAAAAGAACTGCATTATATAATGCAATGATACACTTTGAGATCCCACCTAAGTTAGTTTAGTTGACCAAACTAATACTACAACTAATTAAAGAAATAAACTCTACGTTCTGCTCGCCGCTAGATGGCATGGGCCACATCGATTAAATTTCAGACAAAATAAAAAACGGCTTTGATCTTTAATATCTAGCTTAATATTTCACTTAGAATACTTTATAAAAAACCAAATTGTTCATTTTTTTACCTGCTACAATTTTGTTTTTTATAAAATTTTCGATAAAACGTATATTTTTGGAGATATTTGCAAAAAACCGATGAAAAACGTGAAAAATTTGCGAATTTTTAATTGCCAATAACTTGAAAATTATTGGATTTTTCGAAAAACTTTATAGATGATATTTTGCTTAAAATTAGGCCTTCTATATATCCGAGGTTATTTTGAAAAAAAAAAATTCACCCCCGAGAAGGGGTGGCAACCACCCCCAGGGTGGTTGCGAAGTTCAAATTATTTTCACTTTTGAAGTTAAGGGTAAGATGAACCTAATTCCAAAATTGTATGGAATTCGGTTCACAGTCAAAAAATTCGGAGCAATAATGCTTTCAATGACTGCACTAGTACTCCAAAATATTTGAATGTTTCAAGCTCTTCAAAACTGTGTGCATCTATTGTCAGTTCTGTCATTTGTGTCTTCTTTTTCTTGCTTACGTTCATGTATTTTGCTTAATTTTCATTAATTTCCTATCTTTTTAATTTGGCTTCTTTAGCTCTTACTCTTAGTTCAGCTTTTTTATTATCTTGTCTAGTGATACAGTGCGTTAAGTTTTTGATTAGGTATTGCACACTATACGGAGCGCTAAAATCAGCAACGTTGCAAATGTTCGTTCTCCGACCCGAGACTATATGCACCGACAGAAAATCATTTATTTTAGTTTATTAACTCACACCAACGTTTGGGATGTACTTCTCTGTCGTCCGATCTCATGTTTCATTAGGTATAGCCGATATTAATAGTAGGAAATTTCGATAAAAATGCACTGACTTAATCGGTGCATTGTTATCGATTTTTATTAATGTGAAAATTTTTTTGTGGTTGAATTAAAAATAAAAGCGTATTTCTTTAAAAAGATAAAATAAAAAATATACTCTTATTGAAAATTAAAATAATATTCCTAATAAACTGCCAATAAAATGACTGTCATAAAAACTTCTGCGAACAGATGAAAGAGTTTCTGCTGTAACAGAATTGGAGACTTCTCTTATTCGATTTTTTTAATTTATCCAAATTTTGGGCTCTAGCCTGAGGATGAGCGTAGATAATGCTTTTTAAATGTCCCCAAAAAAAGAAGTCAATGGGTATAAGATCTGGAGATCGCGCAGGCCACTTAATATCGCCTGTTTCCACTGATAACTCGATTCGGGAAAGTATTGTTTAAATACTTCCTAATAATTCGAGCGTTGTGAACTGAACAGCCGTCTTGATGAAACCAAACATTTTCCAGATTTACATCAGGAAGATTGAGAATAGCGGGAAGAACATGATTCTGTAACAAATCGAGGTATACTCTACTATTCAAGTTGCCCTCAATAAATAAATGGACCTATTATGTGGTCTCCTAAAATGCCAGTCCAGACGTTAACTTTTTGAGGACGTTGAGTTCGGTAAACAACACTTCTGTGCTGGTTTTCCCGCGCCCAATACTTCGTAATGGAAGGATTGTGTCTCCCTATTAACGAAACAGAAGATTCATCAGTGAATAAAATGTTTTTAATAAAATTTGGTTCACTATTAGCCTTCGTTATTAGAGTTTCACAAAACTCCATTCTTCGAAAGTAATCGTCTGGATAAAGCTGCTGCGTTTTCGAATATTTAAAATTCTTGTAACCGTGCTTTTTCCATACTTTCATTACAGTAACATTGCTAACATTTAACTCTTTGTTGCACAAATTTGTGTATCCCGGTATTCTCTTTCCTCAACTTTTTCTGGTAACACTTCTTGAGCGTGACATTTTCTGCAATTTTTGAGGCAATAACAACTCTCAAAATTTTAACAATATTATAAATTGACTGTACACAAGGAATTGGTCTTCCCTCAAAAAACACAGAAAATAAATCTACAGAATTGCACTATAAAACCATTGCGCAGAATTGCCACTATTAAAACCATTTTATTATTTGAGCTTTTTCCGCGGTCATATAAACAGATATGTTTACAAAAATAAATTAAAACTCTACGCTGTTATACCTTTAAACAACCACGGTATAATGACAATATGACAAATTTGCCGACGGGCGACGAGCAACGACGAGTCAACGAAGCAGATATGTAGTGCAAGTCGACGACGCGCAGTGTTGCCATTTATAGAGTGTATACCTAATCCAAAACTTAACGCACTGTAGAATAAATTGTACCGTTGAGGGTGCACGCCTTGTCTTACTCCAATTTTTATCTTTATAATTTCTGTTCTTTCTCTTCCGGTGTCTATTATTGCTTGGAAATCTCGCATTGTCATATATCTAACTTACTTAAGTAATATTAGGGCCATATTAGATAACCTGCTAGAAAATATCATCCACCAAAAGCTTGCTATCAAATTCGTGATCTTTAACACTATATGCTTTACTACAAGTACAGAACCCAACACTGTATTAAGATGTCGTACTACAATCGAAGTATTTCTCTGATACTGTGTTAGTCAAATATTGTATTAAAGCAACGTGAGAAATACTCAAGCAACTCAACAACAAATGAGTTCAGTAAGCATTAAAAATAAACTGCTAACGACTTTGCCAATAGTTAAAATAGTACTAATAGCTGTTTAACTACGACACTTATTCCAAATGCTCTTTATGACAATGTGACCAAATTTGTTTTTGACAGGCATATTATATGACAATTATAGATAAACTATTTAAAAGATATTAAAGCTAAATAAAACAAGAAAGATGCACGTAACTAAAAGTATGTGCTTTTAGTTATTTAGTATTGTTGCACAGAATAAACATGCTGCTGAGACAAACAAAAAAACTACTGAAATACAAAATATAAAACTAACAATAGTATTTATATCTTCATTATTTTAAATAAGTTATTAAAATTACTACCAGTAGTCTGTGCCTGCGCCGGTCCTGCATTCAAGTTGCTTAAAGCTTTTGTTGAACTTTCAATTTCTTCGTGTTGTTCAGATTCTGGCGTTGTAATCGTAATCGGACTTTCAGATTTAATAATTTCGGTTTCTGTATTTTGCCTGGGACTTTTATATTGAGACAGCCGCATATCCGTCTCGAAGCCAGGTGGTTGTCTTCTGCTACCCACAATCGGCCTCCATCCATCAGATGTCATCGTAATTGGATCCTAAAGACAAATAGAAAATTGAAAGTTGCAGCTGATGTTGTGTTATATGTATGTACATGTATATAAACGTAATACTTTGTTTATTATAGCAAATATTTCAATGATTATTCGAAAGCTATTCAGTTCTGGTATCTTAAACATGGAAGTATTAAATGCGAAGAATGATTTTTTAACATTTCTGCTTCTATAGTCCGCCTAGAAAGTATCCGGAAAAAAGAAAGCAGAATTATAATTTTACAGTATTTATTTCTATCACTTGAAATATAAAATTTCATCAAATAATTCATCTCATTTACTTATACAACCTTCATTTAAATCTAAACACTTAACCAAACATCCAGGTATACCCGAAACTAGGTCAAGGCCATAATTTTCGGTAATGGTGTAGAGTTAATGGATTTTGGAACAGCTATGACCTTGAAAAATTCCACAAAGAATATCAACTAAATATTTCTTTTCTTACTCAGACTCTTTAAAGTCTTTTAACAATATTTTAGAATCGAAGATATGTAATTATATTATTAATGTATTGGATTTTGACAAGAGCTATGCATTATGCCTATTTAGTACACAAGTTCATGTGAAATGTTCAAGGTCATAGCTGTTCCCAAAATCCATTACCCCAGGCCTGTAAAACTGACCGAATCAAACCTTCTTTATCTCCTGGCGCTGCTCGTTCCACTTCAATCTTTATCAGTCTCAATGTGTTTTCAATGGCGCTAAGATCTGGAGATGCTGCTGGCCACGGAATTGTTGCCAATTCGTGTTCTTGCATCCAAGCTTGAGTATAAGCAGAAGTATGGCATCTTGCATTATTTTGCTGAAAACGCCACCCTTCTGGATATAAAACATGAGCCGTTTCAAGAAGAAAACCATTTAGGATGTCACAATATTTCGCGCTATTAACAGTCACCATTAACTATACAGAGAGGTGTAGCACCACGCTGAGATATTGTTACCCAAACCATTATTTTAGTGGGAAATTTGGAAATTTGAACGGTAACGTTTTCTCTTGATAGGACTTTTAGATGATTTGCACCAAGCTTATCTTCCACCAAAATTATCTTCTCGAAAACGTTGACAAAAATCTATTCTTCGTTGTCTTTGCAGAGGTGTCATTGTAGGGATATTTTTTGGACTCTTATATATGTAGCCTTGCTTTTTCAGTGACATGTGACAGTTTCTGGGCACACTTTTACTCTTCGTTGATTTCCAAATCTCTTTGCTAATTTTCGAAACCTTAGGCGTGGATTTTGTCGTCCTAAAACCACTAAAGCATTTAAATTGTTTCCGCGAATCTTACGCGGTCTACCCGAAACTGGTATATGCCTTATATCTGTGTCATTTTTTATCCTCTTTATTGTCTCATACATTGCACTTTTTCGAGTTCAGTCAATTGCACTAATATTTTAACGTTTGGGACACCCTTTCTAAGCAAATATTCCATCATTTTTCTTTTTTCTACTTGCGACATTATTTCACAAATCTTAAGTCTGTTTACAAACAACAATATTTGACAGATGGTGTTGTCATGCGATTTTGTCCATAACCGACACTATCGGCACTACCTACTTGATGCATTACTTTTGTTTTGAAATGTTATAAAAAGGAAATCTCTTAAAATTAGGAAAAATATAAAATTCCGGATACTTTATAGACGGACTATACATTGAAATTTGCAGTGAAAAAGTTATCTCTCACTTTGCAAAACATACATATAGTGTATTTATAACGTGGAATATAAAATATAAAACTTTAGTAGCGTTGCTAGAATATTGTCGATGCTCTTTTCAGGGAGTACTTTATTTAAAGATTACATAATAGTCTCGTCGTCAGAGATTTTACCTTAATCATACGAACAAGCTGAATTTTGCTGAGAATGTCAATTGTGGGACCAAAAAAGATCCAAAAAGGTTTACCACTCTTCATCTAAAATGTCCCCTCGTAGGTAAAAATCGATTTACCAAGAATTTGTACGCCGAAGAAAAAATATTTTAAATAAAATATGTAGCTGAGATAATTTTGAACAAAAATGTTCACCATCAATTTTTGTGCAAAATGAACCGTTCTTTCTGAAACAACGCTTGAAGCTACCGGTGATTTTAAACGTCAGTTAAGCGTGCGAAATCAATTTTAAACAAAATTTTTATCAACTCGGCGGTAAAAGTTGCCTGTCTCATATTTATTGCCAAAACTCAAAACCGAAATTTCGTGCTACATGGATCTAAAAATGGAAATTTCATTGTGACCGTCAATAAAAATGATCAATCTTATTGATCTCATGAAAAACATAGAATATGGCAAAAATCGCGCAACGTTTATTTATTTAACACCTTTATAAAAACTGACTTCATTTGTTGCAAAACACAAAACATGCATACGAAAGCTGCATTCTTTGCCTTTAAAACGCATTTTGATTTTTGTCGATAGGACACTGTGATCAAATGATATGAAACAATGTCAGTGACGGTTTAAAAATTTTCTTACCTGGGAAGCGTGGTAATCACCAACAACATAATATCGGAAAAGGCAAACCATACATATAATATCGCTCGAAAGTAGAAGTTACTATGGAATTATCATTTTATAAAATTTTAGAAAACATTTTAGAAGCCACTGCCTAACATGAAAGACATAAGATCATGGTATAGAGAAACTTAATACATTACACCCTTGATAATCAGACGTTTTGCAATCCGACACGCTCGATAGTCCGACGCACCTCCCTTAAAGGTCACCACCGTATCTGCTTGTACAGAAACCTGTTGCGAGATGAATCTCATTCTTACCTGATGCTTTATTTCGCGTGTTTTTCCGTAAGCAGTTCGGTTCGATAGGGTTTTTAGATACAACAATACGTAGTGCCAAACTTTTATTTAATTTAGTTAGAAAGTTGAGTTCAATGGCGAGCACAAGTTCCAAATAAAAGCACAAAACGCTGACTCTAAAAAATAAATGAGATATTGGACGAGCTACAGTGTACGACATTATGAAAAACAAAGACAAAAGCGAAAAATATATGAAATCTGTTGAAAATGATTCTAAGGACAAAAAAAACCTTTAAAATTAGTGAATTTCCTAATGTTGAATGAGCTCTGCAGATCTGGTTTAAGCAACAACGAAGCAGATAAGCTCTTATTTCAGATGACGTTTTAAAAATAAATCTCAGTTTTATTTTTTAACAAAGAAAAAAAAATTAACAAAGAAAACTGATTTTCGTGCTAGTTAAGGTTGGTTCGAAAACATCAAAAAGGGTACGCAATACGATTTTTGCAGATGAGTGGAGAAAAAGTTGTGTGAAGATGAGTCTGAGACATCTGAATTTATTCAGAATTTGAGGAAAAAGATCACCGACTTAGTATCACTTTAAGGTAACTCTCATGGTATGCGCAAATGTACCAGGATTCAATAAATTAAAATTGCTAATTGTGAGTAAGTAAAAAAAACCTCGTGCCTTCAAAAATGTTAAAATTGAGAAGCTACCAATTACGTATATGTGGCAGAGCCGTGCCTGGACGACAAAAGAAGTTTTTCTGGACTGGTACAAGTACAGCTGTTTCCCACAAGTTAAAGATGAGCTCACAATTGCAGAGAGCGCACAGGATCTCCAGACACTCTTAGATCGCGTCAGATCGATCGGAGAACAATACGGCCTCAGCATTAACGTCAAGAAAACAAAAACAATGATTGTCTCCAAAACATCCATCCATCCACCCATGGCTTTAAACGTGAATGGTAACATTATCGAAAATGTCGAGAAATTTCGATATCTAGGGTGGTGGATAACGAAAGATATAGATCCAGACATAGAAATAAAATCGCGAATTGAACAAGCAAGAAATGTCTTGTTAAAAATGAAACAAATGTTACGTCCCAAACACTCAATCTCAAATCCGATACCGAATGCTGAATTTACGTTTACAGCACCTTACTATATGGAATGGAGGCCTGGACCTTCAAAATCAACTCACTCAGGCGTTTGGAAAGTTTTGAAATGTGGTTATTTCGAAGGATGCTGAAAGTCCCCTGGACAGCGCATATGAGCAACGAGCAGGTCCTACACAAGATGGGTACTGACAGAGAACTCTTAAAAATAATGAAAACACGGAAAACCTCATATTTGGGACACATATACAGAAATGAGAAATACCAGCTACTGCAGCTTCTAATAGAGGGAAGGTAGAAGGAAAACGTGGTCCTGGTAGACGGCAGGCGTCCTGGTTGAAGAACATTCGTGAGTGGACTGGTTTGGATTCTCAATCTTTAATAAGAAAAGCCAGGGACAGAAATGATTTTGCTGAGGTTATCGCCAACCTTCATTGAAGACGGCACCCAAAGAAGAAGATAAAGATGAGCTAAGAAAAAAGAAACTGCCAGTGAAGACGGCACCCAAAGAAGAAGATAAAGATGAGCTAAGAAAAAAGAAACTGCCAGTGAAAGCCCTCCTCTTGTTAGACAATTCTTCAGAACATGATAAGGACGATTTAAAAAGATACTGCCAATCGAGGCAATGAATTTACCGAAAAAGACTACTGCATTGATTCAGCCCATGGAATAAACGTTATTAAAACTCTCATGGTACACTATTGCTCAAGTGAATAACTCATTGTGGATTATGTAAGTCAACCTAATGCTGATATCACTTTAATTTTGAAAAACTTTAACATCAAAGATGCGATTATCAATGCTGCCTTTGCCTGGCAGCAAGTCAAGCCTACTACACTGATTAAATCGTGAAAGAATATTTGGCCACAACAACCCACTCCTTCCAATACAAAGAATCCAATGACCAACCTGTGCAAGTAGTACTAGATGCTGCCCTTCAAATTTGCAATGATATGACTAATTCATCAGAACCAAGAGAAGATTTACAAGAGTGGATTTTAGATAAGAATCTTAATGGTGACTTAACAGACGAAAAAATAATTTACAAAATGACAAAATCTGATGAACACGTGACCCAGAAAGCACAGGATGAAAATTCATTTACCGTCAACTGTGATGATACTATATTGGCTGCAATCACATTGATGCATTGGTGCGAGGAGAGAGCATGTGACAAAATTTTGATGTTAAATGAGATACAAGAAAAGCAATGACATACTGTCTTAACAAAAAAAGCAAAAGACAATCAAAGATTTCTTTAAAGTATGAGCACAGTGCGTGTGTATATACATACGTCTATAATTAATCCACCTTATTTTAGTTATCCGAATCTTGGACCTTGAATGCAACATCAATGCAAAAACTGGAATCATTCGAGCTGTGGGTGCATGGAAGAATTCTGAAAATATCGTGGACAGAACACGTCACAAACAAAGAGCTTCTGAGAATAATGAATAAAGAAGTAGAAATTTTTAATACAATTAAAACAAGAACATTGGAATATCTCGGACATATTACACGTGGAGAGAAATATACCTTGCTCCAACTGATTATGCAGGGAAAGATCCAAGGAAAGAAAAGCATAGGAGACGTATAATGTCATGGCTGTGCAACCTGAGAGAGTGGTACGGATTTACATCAAATGAACTTTTCAGAGCAGCCGTCTCAAAAGTCCGATGATGATTGCCAAAGAGAAGAAGAAGAAGAAGAAGAAGTTAGCCGAAATGGGTGTTTTATTTGCATAATAATCAGAGTACTATTTTACTCATAAAATTTAAGAATACTGTAGGCTACTGTTAGCAAAACAATGCCAAATATATAATCACTTTCGGTAATCCGCACACTTTTGGTAATTCGACACCCCTTTGGTCCCATACCCGTCGGATTATCAACTGACATCCGTACTTCCACTTGTTATGTATAGTTGTGGGATCAATAATAGCGCAACAGGGATTTAATCACTCCAATAAAACGTTTTTACTGGCGAAGCCCGAGAGAACTAGACAAAGAGTTAAGCCAAGGTTGCGATTTAGATTCGAGGTTTAGTTACGGATGCTAGAAAAATAGGTGTAACTGGCATCAAAATGCACAGAATAGGACCAAATGGAGGAATCAGCTTAGGAAGGTCGGGACTTAACGCAATAAAAAGCAAAACGAAACCAAAACATCGGAGAGGATCCAAAAAAATCAATGGCGGATATTAAAAGATGAGAAATAAATACATGTAAAATAAAAATAAAATGATAGGTTCTGGGAGCAGTTACAAAATAAAATGGATAAGATTATCTATTATATTATATTAAGAAACTATATGACTGAGGTTGTGTGGTAGGCAATGAATAATAAAGATACGTGCCACTGACTATGTTTGTGAAGTGAAGTTTGTAAAAGATATTCAAGATGATAAATTCTGTGTTTTCAGTAAAAACAATAAAAAATATATATTATTTTTTTATTTTAGATTATTAATAAATATACATATTAACCGGCTTTAGTACTAACCTGCATACTATTTGAAGATACTAGTGCCAAAAACTGACAGCAGATGATTGTAGCTGAAACAATTTATATAATTAAAAATTATTAAACTAATCACTAATTTTTTATTATATTATTGCTAAAACAAAGGTAACAATTTGTTAAATACTATCCTGAAACTTATAACTAAAATTTTGCAAGAACAAATAAATCAGCTCATAAACTAGCAGATGAGCACCAAGATTTCACTACGAGAAGGTCGCATACATACGCTATATTTGTCATTAAACAGATCAACCGGAAATCTTTAGAATACATCAAACCCACATTCATATGTTTGATTGACTTGAAGAAAGCATTGAACAAGACTTAAAGATGTAATACATCTCTGGTACAAAAAAGAGGTTCTGCAGGATATTATAAAAACAATTAAAAACGTCGATCAAGAAAAAACATGAGATGGAAGTCAGAATAGATGGACAACTCATGGAAAACACGCATTGTTCCTGTAATGATCCTTTCCCAAGTTAACATGCTCCTTCTCTAACTTGGCTGCATCGTACTGAAGGCGACCAAATGGTCAGAAATCCGTATTTACGGTTGCCTTCCATCGATATACCTTTAAGTGTCTTGCCAACTTAACAGGAACGTACGAGACTTTCTTGATAATAACTACGAAGACTACTTACTATATTGAAAGATGCAGTCCAATTGCTGTGCCAGCAGGATCGCCGGATTTGAACCCTTGCGATTATTAAATTTGAGGGATTATAGAAGCATTTATTTATTCCTTTCCGATACAAAATCGAGCACAACTCTGGCTAAGAATACAAAATGCTTGCATCGATTTAGAAATATCTTGGAGATTTTGCAAGAATTCGGCGTGCTCCAAGCAAAATGAAGAAAATTTATACATAGAGGCTAATGGTAACCACATTAAGCTTCTTTTGGTACTATCTATCTTTGATACTTTTGTGTTACTCGTAGTTTCGTTTCATCGTAATAAATATTTTGTTTTTAAAAACCTTTAAATAAACTTTTGTTTCAAATTCATGTTTTGCTTCTTTTCTCAAACTGTTCTAACGAATTGTGTACTGCATTTATTAAAAAAAAGGTAATTTATAAAATTAATTAAGGTACCTATTGATTTAACTTTTATGAGGAAAAAACGAAACATTTTCAAAACGATTTTTCTAGAAAACGGTGTATCCTACAGACTTAAAGTAAGAGCACCTTTTAGTACTAGAATACCTGAAAATTTTGTAATCTAGTATGACAAATGCTTAAAAGTTAAAGATAAAAAGTAATGCGTTAAAATAACCGTTGACCGACACAAGACGAACGCCTATGAACGGTATTAGATATTCGCAATTACATAAATGGAAATGTTAGCATTTAACAAGTAATGTAAATAAACTACCTAGGGTTTAGAGTTTTAGCTGAGAGATCATGAAAAAGTAGTAAAAGAAGTAAGTATAAATAGCAAATAGATTAGCAGGATGCGTTAAGTACACTATATGACGTAACCGACAGATTAACTCTAAGATCAAATCAAGAATATATAAGGCCAGTATAAGACCAATAATGACGTATGTATCAGGAACAAGACCCGACACAGCCGAAATATATACAGGGGAGTCATGAGGAACTTTACATACTTCTACCATATGTAGAGTCCCTCAGGGAGCGTATCATGTGGCCACTAAAAAATGTCTTTTTTTAAAATTCAATAAGTGATTTTCAAACTACATAAATAGCCAATGAAAACGACATATGCGACAATGTTGTCGCACTTTTATTAAATTTTTAGTGAACGATCAAATCTTACCAAAAATAGAACAACCATAATGAAGTATCAAATTATAAGGTAATTAATTTAAACAAATGTTATAAATATCAAACATTTTAATTGAAATGATAAATTGAGTCACTGCACAACAAAAAACAGTAACTACTAACAATAACGAAGAACAATTAAAAAAAAAACTAAAAATATGTACATAGTTATGATAAACCCATAAATTAGAACTGGAAAAGATACAATAATGGTAACAAAATAAAAATAATTCAAAATAGATTTTCGAAATGGAACTCTGCAGCCTGTACCCATTTTTGTTGCCGAATTGTTAATTGACGTATTGAATTACGTACCTATACTCTGGGGATCGTTTCTAATAGTATTACAACAATGTATAATTCTATCAATTAATTGTTGTCGGTTATTAATATTCATTGCGTAAACTAGTTGCTTCAATCGTCCCCAAATATGGTAATCACCGGAATTGAAATCAGGGGATCTTGAAGGCGAAATAGGACCTGCACGTCCTATCCACCTGTTGCCATAAACATTATTGAGATGTTGTCTCACTGCCAGTAAAAAGTGTGGGGGTGCCCCATCATGCTGAAAATACATCCCTCGGATAGCAACGTTCGCGTTGACAAGCAAATTCGGCACAATATTTTGTAGAAAGTTGAAATAGACCTGCCCTGTTAAAGGACCATCAAAAAAGTGAGGACCTACTAATTGGTTATTTATGACACCAATCCACACGTTAACCGAAAACCTTAACTGAGAACGACGTTCTCGAATAGCATGGGGATTTTCTTCTGCCCATACATGTGAATTTCGTGAATTATTTATCCCGTCTCTGGTAAATTGGGCTTCATCTGAAAATAGTGTCCTGTATAGCGTTGGTCGATTATTGTTAATCCATCTACAAAATTCCAACCTATCGATCTCATCTCCAGCATGTAGTCGCTGAACCATTTGAATGTGATATGGGTATATATTATTTTTTTGTAAGACTCTACTTACTTTTGATTGAGTAACATTGAGTTCTCGACTTACTTGTCTAGTGCTTATTGTAGGGTTCATAGTAACGGCGTCCATAATGTCATCTTCCTGCGCTTCATCTACATGTCGCTCTGTTGTTCCACTAGGAAAAGTGCCATTTTCTCGCAAATAATTAAAAACTGACCCAAATGTTGGATGACTGGGAGTTCGACGATTAGGAAATCTCTGCGATATTCTCTACTAGCAGCCCTACCATTCCCATTACAGAATCCATAAACAAATATTATGTCTGCATATTCTGTGGTCGAAAACTGATGTGGCATTTTGAACGAAAGTAACAAAAGCTCTACCAAAACTAACACAATGTACTTAACGTAAATATGACAGAAGAAATATGTATTCTTGTACACATAAATAACAATTGATAATGACAATAATGACAATGGGTATAAAATATCAAGAAACGTCAAACGGTCAACGCCAACCTTCATTTTCAACTTTTTTAGATTTATTTTTATTTAGTACAGTTGATGCAATGTATTATTATTTGACATAAAATTTTAATCATTTACAATCAACAAAAAGTAACACATACAAGAGGTTTGACTTTTTAATCAATTTAATTTATGATTTATCGAAAATAATGCCCCAATACGATCTATGAGTAAAAATTTAAAATTGAAAAACAATTGATTCTGTCGTAGAGATAATACAAAGTGACAGTAAAGATGTCAATTTTCTACGTATTAGATTATGTTGTAGGAACTCTATTTTAATTAAAATGTTTGAAATTTATAACATTTGTTTAAATTAATTACCTTATAATTTGATACTTCATTATGGTTGTTCTATTTTTGGTAAGATTTGATCGTTCACTAAAAATTTAATAAATGTGCGACAACATTGTCGCATATGTCGTTTTCATTTGCTATTTATGTAGTTTGAAAATCACTTATTGCATTTAAAAAAATATATATACAGGGTGTTATATTTAATACGAATTCTTAAATTAATTTTTCCAAAGCCAGTCCCGGAATTTTTTAGTTTAGCTAATACCAGTCGAATGCTTGATAGTAGTGTACTGTATCATGCAAAAATTAAAAAAATCAAATGAGCCGTATAAACACTACAGTAAAATGAAATAAATGGTCAATTACACAAATCACCCTGTTAATTAATAAAGACGAGGAGTTGACATTTTTTAGTGGCCACATGATATGCTCCCTGAGGGACTCTACATAATATGGTAGAAGTATGTAAAGTTCCTCATGACTCACCCTGTATAAGTCGATCACTAGTTAGTAGTTACTACTGAGGACGCGGCTTTCAGATTTTAACAGTTTAAACAGCAATTAGCAAGTCAAAAGTTTCCTTGATTAATTTATTGTAAAATAAAATAATTATACAGTCAACTCGCTTCTTCAGTAATTAGTTCAGTATTAATAATTAGAACGACAATAACAAATGATTCTGTTACATATTCTGCACATTATAAGAATAACATTGGTAAAACTACGTTGTTCGCAAAATAGTTATCGCAAATAATATCTTTTGCATATGAAAATAGTGTTTTTAAATTGCCCATGCATAATTTAATCGCTTTTCTCATTGCATTCTAATATAAATGGAAATAATATAGTAAAAGTCTTTAATAGTTATAGTTATTTGAATACGTTGGGGAATTGTGCTCTAATTGTCTTTAATTTTACGCAAAATGGTTGTACAGGGAAAGTTTAGCAATTTATTATAACTACTTCCTTACATAAATCAACAAAAATACAAAACACGCCTACACGAAACACGTCTTTATAATTAAATTATGTAACTAGTTATTAAATTTAAATTTTAGAATATAGACATTGTTTTATTTACTTATATTCCGATCCTTAAAATAAACTTAGTTTTTATTCTTTTCTCTCTCTTAATACATTGGGACAAAGGCGTTTTGACCAAAGGGTGCAGTAGTATCAAAGTTTTTTGTGAAGAGGATGATGCCAAACTGACTTGACCCTCATTCAAACGTGTTCTTAAAGTTAAAAATTATAAAGAATATTCATTATAATGCTCCATCATTGTGTGACTCTTTTCTACATTTTGAAGTAGGTACTACTCAATGTAGTATTACCCAAATGCAAGAACATGACGAGACTTAGACAGTCTTGGTCTTGGTCTTGGTCTTGCGCCAATACACCTGGTTTTGGTCTTGGTCTTGGTATTGCACTCCCGGCCTTAGTCTTGGTCTTAGTATTGCACTCCCGGTCTTGGTCTTTGTATTGCAGCAAG